TCTGTCCGTCCCGATGACCTGTCCACCTTTGTGCAATCATTCATACAAGCAGTTCTGCCTGATGTCTCCCCGCCAGATCTGATCATTGATCGCATTCACCATCTGCCTAAGCCCGCACACCTGCCAGATGGCATACCGAGGGACACCCTGCTCCGTATTCACTTTTTCCATGTGCAGGAAAGGTTGCTTAAGGCAGTGAGGCACCAAGCTGATCTCCCCGCCACCTACGCTAAGCTACAGGTGTTTGCTGACCTCTCTCAATTTACCCTTCAACTTCGCAGGAAGCTAGTGCCTATCACAAAGGCCCTCAGAGATAACAAGATCCTCTACCGCTGGGGGTTCCTGACCAAGCTTATGATAACTAAGGACAACGACCTCTACACCATCACTAACTTGGAGCAAGACCTTGCTCTCCTGCAACAGTGGAAGCTGTCCCCCGCGGCTGAGGTCCGCCCACCATCTTCCAACAAAACCGCCTCTGACTGGCAGGTAGTGTCCCGCAAAAGGGGTCCAAGACCAAAGGACTGATGGCACCTACCTGAGCCGTTCCGTTCCTAACTCAACCCACGGGACCCTGTGGGCCACCTTGGAGCTCTCACCCCAGTTCAATGTTCAGTTTTGATAACTGCTTCCCTGACCCTTCGGGGAAATGTTTTTTATTGGACTTGTTCCATTTTGATGCCTTTTTACTAGTTTTACTACAGACTTTGCTTTCTCTTCTTCTCTCTTCACACATCGCCAAGAGATACCTTCAACTGCTGAACGAGATTCCACTCCATAGCCTTGATCTCATCCGGAAGCTCGACTACACCACTTAAGACATATTCTTCCTACAGCCTGGCCTCCTGACGTACGCCTGTGAGTACTACACATGCATTTACCTACGCTACAGTTGTCCAGTTGGCAGTACAATTTCTATCCCTTAACGCCAAGGGCCTTAACCATCCGGCTAAACGGCGTTCATTGTGGCTTGAAGCTGTCAAGCACCACGCGGATGTGGTGTGTGTCCAAGAGACCCACTTTAACAAATCCGCTCCACCTCAGTGCTCCCACAGGAGCTTCCCGTTTATCATTACAGCTAACGCCACCTCCAAATCCAAGGGTGTCCTTGTGGCCGTCAGAGACACGGTATCCTTTCAGCAATTGGAGGCCCACACCGACCCAATGGGTGGCTACATCATCTTGATATGCTCCATTAACTCTAAAACCTATACCATTGTGAATCTTTACACACCCAACACCCACCAAACGAGATTTGTTACCTGCCTGCTTAAGAGGGCTCGGAAACTCCAAAAAGGGGCACTGATCGTATGTGGGGACTTTAATCTGGTCCCGGACAGATCCATGGACTCTACCTCCTCACCTTTGCGCGACTGCCAACACTTCAGCCTACTATCAATAACAATGGCCTGTTCGATATCTGGCGTTGCCAACACGCCAGCGAACGAGACTTCACATTCTTTTCCTCCCAACACAAGTCTTACTCCAGGATAGACCTGTTCCCGGTGGACCGCACACTACTGCCTTGGATTCAACGTACCTCCATTCACAATATCACCTGGACTGACCATGCCCCTGTCTCCATGTCAATCTCATACAATCAACCTACCTCTAACACTTTTGTTTGGCGTAACAATGTTTTTCTTTTACAACAGACTGACACTGTGAAATCTATTAGTAAGAGCTTGCTTGAATTTTTTGAGCTTAATGCATCCTCGGTGGAGGACCCTTTTACGTTGTGGAACGCCCATAAGGCGTACATAAGGGGTCTACTGATCCAGCACAGTTCTAGGTATAAGAGACAGAGGTTGCGAGCACTAGACCAGCTTATTTTTAATATCCGCACACTTGAGACTGAGAACAAGAGGCAACCTAGTCCTAGCCGTTCCTTGACTCTGTCCAGACTACGTCTGGACCTTAGAAAACTCCTTATGGAACAACACTGCAGACATTCCTTGAATGTTAAGTCTAACTTCTACGTCAGTGCAGTAAAGCCAGCAAGCTTCTGGCTTCTAGCCTGAAGGCCCACGCACTAGAATTCCCTATTTACTTCGCCCTTCTGATAATCACAAATTATACCATCCCCAAGACATAGCCGAGGCCTTTTGCGCCTATTACAAATCCCTATATAATTTACGGGACGAGCCATTGACCCACCAACCCACTCGCCCTGAAATAGACGAATTCTTGCGGTCAATTCACTTACCCGCACTTTCGCCTTCCCAACTTGATAGACTACAGTCTACATTCACTGTCACAGAACTGAACAAAACCATTAAATCCATGCCCAACAACAAGTCCCCCGGCCCGGACGGGTACTCCAATGAATACTATAAATTATTTGCCCCTACACTCAGCCCTCACCTACTCCGGGTCTATGCTGCTGCGGCGACCTCTGCCTCTTTCCCTGCCGAGATGCCTAGTGCTCTGATTGTTACGATACCTAACCCTGGGAAGACTCCGGACCGTCCTCAGAAGTTCCGGCAAATTTCCCTCTTAAACTCGGACGTAAAAATTTACGCCAAACTGATAGCCAACCGCCTTAATGATATCATGCCCACCTTACTTCACCCAGACCAGAAGGGATTTACGTTGGGTCGAGAGGCCCCAGATGCCACCCGACGGGTTATAAACCTGTTGGCTCATGTTGAGCGCTCTCGGGCGCCTTCTCTGTTCCTGGCCTTGGATGCAGAGAAGGCGGTCGACAGGGTCAACTGGTCATATCTCCGGGGGGTGCTTCGGAAGTTTGGATTTGAGGGCCATATCACAGATATGATTATGGCACTATATTCTGCTCCCTCTGCACAGGTGTTCACCTCAGGGAGACTCTCCTCGCCTTTTACCTGCCCCCTATTCCCCATGTTATTTAACCTACTCATAGAGCCCCTTTCTGAGGCCCTTAGGGCGGATACAGATGTTCAGGGGATTTATGTCCACCCCACCCTCCCTCCACAGAAGGTCACGCTTTTTGCTGATGACGTACTCTTAACCCTCACGGCTCCGGAGTCTTCCCTGAGGCAGACGATGCAGATCCTGACTAATTTTAGTAATGTGTCATACTACAAACTTGTTGGTAGTTACCAAACAATGTTGGTAAGTGTAATGCTATGGGTGTCAACCTGGCCTCGACTTCTCGTAGGGCCTTACAAGCGGACTACCTCTTTGAGTGGACAACCAGTAGCATCCCATATCTAGGTACCCATATACCTGTATCGACGAACCAGCTCTTTCAGTGTAATTTTAGTCCATTTTTGGAGCGGTTCCCATCTGAGCTCCAAGCGCTGGGTAGGGGATTCCTGTCTTGGACAGCTAGATTAGCGGCTTTTAAAATGCTTACGCTCCCCAAGCTCTTGTATTTATTTCGAACTGTGGTCATACCCATACCCACCGGATTCTTTAAGTCCCTACAAACTGCTCTATCTAACTTTATTTGGCACAACAAAAAACCCAGGTGCTCCCGCACCTCTCTTATTAAAAATCCTAGGGTGGGTGGTACTGGGTATCCTGACCTTAAGGACTACCATTTGGCTGCCACTCTATCGCAGCTCCAGGCTTGGTTGAACCCCTCGAGAGATAAAATCTGGCCTTTCCTGGAAAGCACATTGGCTAAGGGAGTCTCCCTGTACTCCCTTGCCTTTATTAATATGCACGCCTCCACCTCACTGACAGAATACTCGCCCTCTATCCAGGCTACTGTACAGGCTTCACGCGCGATTATGCGCACTAGTTCCCCCTCGGACCAGCTAGTTACTCCCCCAATACCACTTTCTGCTCTGGCACTCCTTATCCCAGACTTCCCGCATGAACGGTGGTCCATCAGGGGGGTGGGCTGGGTCCAGGACCTGCTACAAGGCCTATGTATGAAACCCTTCCCGCACCTGTGCTCATGATACAAGCTAAAGGGGCGAGATTATTTTGGGTATCTGCAAATTTTGCACGCTCTGCCTTCCCTTCTGAAAGAATGGCCCAGGGTGCCAGAGCAAATATGGAAATATCTCTCCTCTATGCCCTCCCATAAAGGGGGAATTTCACTTTTCTATAATCTCCTCCAACATAAAAGACTCTTCACTACACTACCAGCTTTTTTAGCCTGGGAGAGAGAACTTGGTGAGACCTTCTCCTCTGAGTCATGGGAGTATGCCTGCGGCTCCATCTACCTAGCCACAAAGAGTGCCGACCTATGGGAGCTCTACCATAAGATATCTCTGAGATGGTACCTTAAGCCATATCGCCTAGCGAAATTCGCGTCGACCAAGTCAGCGTTGTGCTGGAGGGAGTGCGGGCAGACTGGTACCCTTCTCCATATCTTATGGGGATGTAAGTCCTTGACGAGCTATTGGAACGGCATTTTTTCGGTGGCTATCAATGATAACTGGTTGCTTCATGGCTCCCAACCCAGCGCTTGGACTCCTACTCATAGGCATCGACCGCTTCCCGGTACCTTTCCGAGCTCTGGTTGTCCACACACTGCTGGCAGCTCAGCTCACAATAGTGAGACACTGGAGAAGTACGGTTAGTGCCTCTGTTAGTGAAACACACCAAACTTTAACCCTACACTATGATCTTAAGAGACTTTATGCGATTAAAAGTGGCACCCTACCTTCATTCCACAAAAAATGGAAATGGTGGACTCCCACGATGCAATAATGTGTGATTCTTCCTTTCTTTACCTCTGTCTGTCTTTTCTACTTCATCCTCTCTTTTCTCCCCTCCCCCTATACCTCCAGCGGTTTGTGTTTATTGCAATGTAATGAGTCATAGCACCTTTGATAAATGTTTTGACAACCGCATCATCCCTTACTTCATAATGACAAATGACTGTATCTCTTCATTTTTTATTTACATGTATCACACTTTTATTTGTACTGTACACGTTGTACTTTTGATGCACTCCACGTGCGTGATGTTCTGTTAAAACCAAATAAAAATTTACTTTGGAAAAAACTAGAGTTGATTTAATAATTGTGAAGGTTTGTAACATGCTGTTCTTCCTCCTGCAGACAGTGACATCTGCCACAAATGTCCAGATGACCAGTGGCCAGATGAAAGAAAAGTGATCTGTATCCCCAAAACATATGAATATCTGTCCTATGAGAAAGACATCATGACTGGGGCATTTGAGGTTATCTCTCTCTTATGTTCTGTTGCAACTCTATGTATGCTGGCATTGTTTGTTTTATTCCGGGACACTCCAATTGTGAGAGCAAACAACCGGACTGTGAGCTTCATTCTCCTCACCTCTATCTTGCTGAGCTTCCTCTGTGTCTTCTTGTTCCTTGGTCGTCCTGTCCATATAAGCTGCATGCTGAGACAAATGTCATTTGGGATCTTCTTCTCCATCGCTGTCTCTTGTGTTCTAGCCAAGACTATCACAGTCTGCATTGCCTTCAAAGCCTCCAGACCTGGCAACTACTGGAGGAAGTGGGTGGGAGAGAAGATTTCTAACTGTGTTGTCATAATCTGCTCTTCTGTCCAAGTTCTGATCTGTATTACTTGTCTGTCAATGTCTCCTCCTTACCAAGAGTATGACATGCACTCTTCTCCTGGGAAGATCATCATTCAGTGTAATGAAGGGTCAGTTATCGGGTTCTTCTCTATGTTGGGGTATATGGGGCTTCTGGCTGCTGTGAGCTTTGTTCTGGCTTTTATGGTGAGGACATTACCGGACAGTTTTAATGAGGCCAAGTACATCACATTCAGCATGCTGGTGTTCTGCAGTGTCTGGATTGCCATGATCCCGGCTTATCTGAGCACCAGAGGAAAGTATACAGTAGCTGTGGAGATATTCGCCATACTGACCTCCAGTGCTGGATTATTAGGATGTATATTTTTCCCTAAATGTTACATAATTATCATAAAACCTGAGAGAAATTCTAGAAAGCTTATTTTGGGCAAAGTAAAATTCTAATTGTTTTTAATTATCAGAGGAGTCAAAAATGAGGTTGATTGGAATAGAATAGTTTTATGTCTGAAAAATATTTGACCTGAACCTGGCATGACCTATGGTGTTACGTAACAACAATGCTGCACCTTCTGGGGGTTCCTACAAGCACCTGTGATCGCCATAAAATGTCCCTTTTAAATATCTTGAATTATAACTTCCTGCATTCTGTTCAAGTAAAAATTAAGTCCCAAACTTTCTAGCATTATGTCCCACTCAAGTTATCAAATGCTCAACCGTAGGTTGGGATTGGAGGTTCTGGCTTTGAACCTTTCAGTGACAGGTGATGGGTTTAGTACTGGGAGGTGAGGATCTTTTTTCTCCAATCCAATAAAGAAAAAAGGACTGTATATGGAATCTGCATTTGTAATTATCCAGGCCTGCACCACCAAGCAAATCAGACCACCTAGAGGTTTTAAGGGGGTTTGCTTCTCAATATGTTCACTTAAATTTAAATTGTATTATTGTCTACAGACATGGTGTTGGGTCTGATATTGGTTTGCAGACTAATGCAGTTGCACTTTATCTCTATTGGTACAGCCTACTTATGAAATGTTGCCAGGGTTATGAGATAAGACAATTCTACGATTTATTTGAACTTATCACAACAAAATATTGGTGAACTTAAATTCAAACCCGTCATATACAATAACTAGTGTTCTAACTACATAAAAAGGAGAGAGGATTGACAAAATCCTCTCTCATTCCCACATACTTAAAATGTTTCTTCTGTCCAATTGTTACATTTTATTATTGTGCTGTGAATACATCATGAAAAAATATTGATAACGTATACGTGATGAGAAAACAAGGATAAGCTATTACTACAAAAAAAAAAGCTTCTCCGTTTCTTGGATTCTGTGTTGGATCCTCTCAGGTCAAGGTTCTCGTATTTGATTCCATCGGTGACAGCATGGTTTTAGGAACTTGATGTTTTTAAGGGTTTTAAATTAGGTTTTCGGTTTTGTGATAGTGGGGGAAACTTGAAAATGTAAATGTAAATGTTTTATTTTATATTTTGAAACATATAACAAAAATATATTTAAAAAATATGCAATGTCTCATTGTATTGTTCAAGTTGTATTTTTGTTGGACTTAATTTATTTTGTCTCAAAAAAGAAAATGGAACAAGTCCCACAATTGTGTTTTTTAACTTTTGAGTTCTATTGCATACTATGATTAAAAATACACAAAATACCCCAAATAAAATATGTTTTTTAATTTGCCTTTGCCCTTTTTCTTGTCTTTTGGTGTAGTTTTATTTTGTTTGTTTATTTTAGACATCATAAAGTAACAGTATCACTTTTAAAACGGAGCCTTCGTTTCAGATGAACTGAAAGGCTCCTTTATGGGCTTTTTCATAAAGTGGGCACCCAGTCGCTGCCCTTCTTGTGAATCAGTAAGGGGTAGTTGTTTACCCTACCCATTCACCAACATTTAAAATGAAAAGTAAATGTTATGCTTGGTGTATTTTTAACCAGAAGATCTTAATGCTAGCTCGGTTTTTGAGCTGTCTTCATTTTCTTCCCACTGCAGTGCAAGAATAAAGCACCTATTCTTTTATCTATTTGGACTCACTATCTCATCTAGAAGGTCTTGATTGAGGACCCCCTAATCTGATATTACAAACAGCTGTATGGCATTGTGATTATTGTTGTAAGTGGTGATGAATCTCATCTCCGTGTCACCTTCTGAGGGTGTGATGGCTTTGGGAGTGGGTGGTGTTAAATATGTGGAGTAGGCCTTGTGAATTAATGTGACTGGATAGCATTTGTCTTTGAACTTGTTTGTGATGAGTTGGCTCTGTGTGTTGTAATCTGTAGTTTTGGAACAGTTGCGCCTAAGCCTGCAGAAGATACAGGGCCTCCGCACAGAGATACAGTGCCTCCACACAGAGATACAGTGCCTCCACACAGAGATACAGTGCCTCCGCACAGAGATACAGTGCCTCCGCACAGAGATACAGTGCCTCCGCACGGATATACAGTGCCCCCGCACAGAGATACAGTGCCTCCACACAGAGATACAGTGCCTCCGCACAGAGATACAGTGCCTCCGCACAGAGATACAGTGCCTTCGCACAGAGATACAGTGCCCCCGCACAGAGATACAGTGCCTCCGCACAGAGATACAGTGCCTCCGCACGGAGATACAGTGCCCCCGCACAGAGATACAGTGCCTCCACACAGAGATACAGTGCCTCCGCACAGAGATACAGTGCCTCCGCACAGAGATACAGTGCCTTCGCACAGAGATACAGTGCCCCCGCACAGAGATACAGTGCCTCCGCACAGAGATACAGTGCCTCCAAACACAGAGATACAGTGCCTCCACACAGAGATACAGTGCAGAATAAGGTATGGCAAGTCTGTAATTGGAAAATATCAAAAGCAATCTGACCACATTCAGTACTGCTGACCGGGGCCGGATTAAGAGAATCACGGGCCTAGTGCTGAGGTCTTTTTATGGAAATGGCGATGGTCAACAGGGCTCTCTTCCTCCTGCCTGGACTGTGATTTGTAGTCTCTGCACAGCTTGGAGTCAGTGGTGGAGCGCCAGGGCCCGGTTGCAGCTGTGACCCTGGTAGATCTGCCACTGACTCCAAGCTGTAGGGGGACTACAAATCCCAGTAATAGATTATACAGCAATGCAGAATACTACCATCAGCTATATAGGACTACAAATCCCAGCAATACATTATAAAGCACTGCAGAATAATATCATCAGCCATAGGGAACTACAAATCCCAGCAATAATTTATACAGTAATGCAGGATAATATTAATCTGTAGTTTTAGGGGGGTTGTGCAGGCTCTCAAAAGGCTGTTCAGGCTCTTAGGTGGCCAGTGCAGCTCTCAGGGTGCCAGTGCGGACTATCAGGTGGTCAGTGAGGACTCCAGGTGGTCAGTATGGACTCTTAGGTGGTCAGTGCAGACTCCAGGCAGTCAGTGCAGGCTCCAAGTGGTCAGTGAGGGCTCCAGGTGGTCAGTGAGGGCTCCAGGTGGTCAGTATGGGCTCTCAGGTGATCAGTATGGGCTCTAGGTTTTCAGTGCAGGATCCATGTGGTCAGTATGGGCTCCAGGTGGTCAGTGTGGGCTCCAGGTGGTCAGTGTGGGCTCTAGGTGGTCAGTGCAGGCTCCAGGTGGTTAGTATGAGCTCCAGGTGGTGAGTGTGGGCTCCAGGTGGTCAGTGCGGGCTGTAGGTGGCCAGTGAGGGCTCCAGATGGTCAGTGAGACTGACGGCTGTGGCCGCAGCAGATGTGCCTCTCTGCTCAGGTATAACCTAGGGTCCTTTGATATGCCTGAATAGAGGACCGCGGATGCCTGGTCGGGTCAGGCCCCCCGATATTCCAGTCGGGTCTGCCTGGCTGCGATTCTGTTTGGGTCACCCGGGACTATTAGCAGGGGCAGTCCTGGAGTGGGAGCTCCACCTTTCCCTTTGTTAATCTGGCTCTGCTTCTGACTAGTTATTTCCCTCTGCTGGTGACGTTTGGGAAAACCCAGGGCCGGATTTCCCACGAGCAGATGGGTGCCAGGGGTGTAAAATCTCCCGACGTCCGGGACATGCAGTGCCGGGCGGGTAGTTGTTTTCTATATTGAGGTCAGCTTTAGGTCAAGCAGGGCTACATGTAGGGCGGGGAAACCGCTCATTCGTTTATAAGTGATCTTGGCAATATTGGCAAAGTAATAAGGCTGCAGGTCAGTCCTCCCAATGCTGCCCCCCCTCCCCCCGTCGTGTACCTCTCTTCCCACTAGCTAGAGGTCCTCTCTTCAGGATGGAGAGCGGGGAGCAGAGTGGGGAACGTCCGTTCTCCACTCCGCTCCGTGTATACAGTGAGAGGGGAGAGCTGACAGCCTTCCCATCCTAGCTGTCACAGAAGTTCCAGCACAGTGCTGTGCCAAAACTCCTGTATTGGAGGTGACAGGGTCAATAAAGATAACCTGTCACCTCCAATTGCTATCACATGGGGGCTTGTTAGCTCTTATGTGATAGCAATAAAGTTAATTTAAAAAAAATATACAAATTGATAAAAGAATAATTAAATAAATAAAACTTTAAACAAGTAAAAAATAGTAAGAAATAATAATTAAAAAAATAAAAAATAAAATGGTGATTTGAAAAAGTAAAAAATTATACATAAAAT